CCTGGATATTTCAAATCTCCAGTCGTGCATATAACTTGGTCCGCGAATTATAATTAACGTGCATGAATATTAAAATTTTTTGTGATTTGCGCCAAAATAACTTTTGCGCGGGAATTTCTATTTTCAAATAGGATAATTAAAGTGAATGCCATGCTTTACACGTAGATATTGCAAACTGTAAAAGGCATTGATGTATTTTTGCTGTTACCTATCAAGACCCAACACAACCATTAAGAAAGTCGCGTAGAACAATGATCGACTTTGTAAAAAATTGATTAGTACGATAGCTTGCATATGGCAATTGCTGACCAATTTTATTGAATACTTTTGTTATTATCAAGAAAATCAGTAAGCACAAACACAAGATTGTTTAAAGTATTTAACAACAATATTGTTACTGACAAAAAGTGTTTGTTATGATTGACAATTTCTTGATGGCAATGTCGTGTGACAAATATTATAAATTTATGTACATGTATATCTATATACATGTAATATAAAAAATAATCAAAATAATTCGGCAGATATAGAAAGTATAAAATCCAGGCGCTAAACTTACTTTGCTTTGTCTGTTCATCAACTTCTGGAAGTTGCGGCCACGTACAACAAATACATAATTGTATATAGAGGAATGTCTTTACCATAGAAAAACTAACGAAAAAAATTTATTTCACGAAAACTTATAAAAACCGCATCGTACTTTATCATTTAAGTAAATAATATACTTTCCCTTTCCCTATAATACACGCGCTCCCACATAAATCGAAAATAATTCATCTCCTCTAAAATGCCTCTACCAGCACAAACGATTCGAGAACATCCTTATCATAAAACTACGTCAAATGATGAACGGTCGTCAGGGTGTAACAGCATCACCTCGCCCGTTACTGTTGTGGACGCTAATTTAGATACAAGTGGTGAAAGAGAAATTGTAGTGACGTTGAATGATGGGGTTAAAATAGAATTTCATTTTCCAACTTCTAAAGAAATCAGGTATCGATTTTTTTATCGAACAGCCAAATCTTCGGACAAACCAGATCGTCCTCCAAACAAGTTCTTTATATTCCGTACAATGTTCCAAGGAACATTGGATACATTTAAGCTTCAAGTTCCAATTGTTTCTGAGTAAGCAAGTCAAGTATGGAGGAAATAAAGTAATAAAGTTAAAGAAGCATTTTCAAAATTAGCGGAAATTGCGAAAAATGAGCATAGTAAAATAAATCCTGACTACATATACAAGCAATACCGAAAAGTCTCTTTGGCTAAATCAGATCTATCGTCGCCCTCTTGTGAAGAAGAATCAAGTGAAACCTCGAGGTCTCCGCCTTCTCCAACAACACCTTCGCCTTCATGGTCGAACACGTATACCAATAGATTATCCTGTCGATTATATGCCAAGTTGCTTTTCTGCCAATCAATTGGAAAATTACGAATCTCCGACGATGTATACTGTAATTGTGCTCAAAACGATGCGATTTTCCAAACTCGCTCGACCTTAATTCCGATTATCAAGTTACATCACGATGCATGTTACACCTCAATTTGTCCGACACAATCACCATTTTTATCATATACGCCACCAGCATGTCCTTATTTCCATATGACAAACCCCTGTTTCTATGGAATTTGCTTATTCAACAGGGGAATTCCCAAATTTGACGCCAACAATATACGATAGCAATAACAATGACAATAACAATAACAACCATCAAAATAACAACTTCCATAACAGCAACAACAATAGGGTCTGCTCATTAAATCAATCGAAGAACAGCGACAAAACTAATTGATTCATATTCAGACAATATTCGCATGATAAATCTATCAAAATTTGAGCATTTACAAGAAGTAAAAATAGAAACCTCAATCGCGTTATCGAACTAAAATCTCCAGGAAAAAACAAAAAAGTTATAAATATACACGTTTTTTCTTTTTCAATTATTATGCTCATCTAAAGACATTTAAGGTTTGTTTACAAACAATGTCATAATGGAGTCAATGCCATAGTTATTAAAAAATCCACCTTTTATGTATTTACGGGAAATTTCGCGTATTGTTCTGTTCAACACTAGTTATCTATTGTTCCTGATGCTGGGTTATCACATATATCAGTTATCCAATCGCTAAATGTTTTATTCAATTCGAATTGAATAAAACATTTAGTGATTGGATAACTGATATATGTGATAACCCAGCACCAACTGGTATCAGTGAGGTTTTCATAAAGATACGTTTTACACAAGTCGATTTTTGACTTTCCAGAATTTAGAGGGTACTGTATAATAGTTGATTTTCCGGAAAGTTGATCAACTACGCTTATAAAAATTCATTCCTGTTTATTTTTCGTCGATTCATTTCTTTCTTAGCTATATCGATATATATTTCTTTTGTCATATATTTCGTTCTATTCCCATATTCATTTTATTTTTCGTAATGTACTTCGTTTTGTTCTTCATTTATGCTCTTTTGTCATATGTTTTGTGCTATCCTTATTATATTTATTTACGGAATGTATTTACTATCCGTATTACCTCATCAAATGCCAGCAAACTTCATCAAAGTGTAAAGAAATTTGGCAAAGCGACTGCAAGAAAAACCGGTGTTTCACTTCGCTTTTGTGAACGTTATTTTGTCTACGCGAAAATGGCCGATTGCACGTTATTCATCGTTCTGGTCACCACGAAAATTTCAATTGATATGCATCGCCAAATCGGCAGGTTGATAAATAAAAACAACTTTTTCACGATAGCAAGTAAATGTGCCAGACTCGGTTATATTGCTGGCTTTACAGAAAACATCTAAATGGATAACCTTTTAAAATTTCATAGGTGCGGCATGGTTTGTGCATCATTTTCTGACAATAATCTCGAGGTTTATCATCTGAAACGCGTTCTTCCTTGACTGCCATATAGCCCGATCAAAAAAATCGTAACACAGAAAAAAGTGTACCACGGTTAGGTTAGTCAAAGAGAGGTGGAAAAAAATTTCCGGAAAAAGTCATTTTTCAATGTATAAGCAGTATGCCGGATCGTGTCTAAGCATGTATTTGGGCATATGAAGTACTAAGTTGCTACGGACATATTTAGCCCTGCTTAGACGTCATTCTGAAGACAATTTTTTATTTTTAATTTATAATAAAAATTTAGCTAGATTCATTTCTGTTTAGTTTGTTATTGTTCTCATAATTATATATACTTATGTTTTTTCGTCATATATTTCGTTCTATTATTATTATGCTCGTTCCTTTTGTTCTATCATATTTATTTATATTCTTAAGACATGAATTTCGTTCTGTATCGTCCAATTTAATAAGTTAATTTTTTTCTTTTTGAACTTCTTTATGGCAAAGAAAAGCGACTGTCACGTGTTATTTTTAAGGGTAAATCAATCAAATCGCAAGATCAATGTGTAACGGAAAGCTTAAAAAAATGATGAAGAATAATTAGTAGTTCTAGCAGAATAATAATTCAAAATATATAAGTCATTTAGTAAAGAATTGTTTTTAAAATAATATATCTATCATCATGAAACCACTTTGTGTATTATAACAAAAATATTCCTTGCGAAAGCTTATTATAGACTGTAATGGACACAATATACAATATAATTTTACTAACCCTAACCTTAACGAATGTTATTAATATTTCATGTCTTGCGATTTGATTGGTTTACCCCTTAAAATAACACGTAACAGTCACTTTTCTTTAGGGTTCTACATTTACGTAGTTCTTAAATTAGTCAGTATGTTTTATTGAATTCAAATTAGATTCATCACGCCCTAGTGCTTTATAGCTACTTGCATATGACACATGAAATCATCTGCCTCCGTATTACATGTAGATGAACAGCAATTTTAAATTCTGCGATACGTTTCATTGGCGTTGGGGCGTAATAAATACATTTTACATGAAATTCTATAAACGTTTTAATTGTACCATCACCAACGATTTTACAAATATTCATATCCTGTTTAAGGAAAGTATCATCCATTATAATTTCACCACGTGAAAATTAACAATGGCTGTTCAGAGATCCCGATTCGATTTGTTTTAGTTAAGATAAATCGAATGGTGTATGAATGGCAGTGTTTTTCCATTAGAAATTAATAAATGAATCGGTCATTAAATATGCAAGATTTCGACAACGTAAGTGATCCGATTTATATTATTTTTGCTTGATAATAGATTTCATCAGCTAAATATCCTATAATCAATATCAAGTTCTGAAGAACAAAGTTAAAAAAAATTGCCGATTTCCTATAAACAATGTAAAAAATCTCGTAACTTTAATGATATGTACAGTACATGAAATAGCTCGGGTTATCTTTTTTTGCTTCTTGTATAGATGTATTTTTCTTTGATTTTTAAAAGTCTATGAACTTTCAGATAATGATAAATTTTTATTTTTCCTATCTCTTTTGTACTTGGCAAGAGCTCATTATATTATTATCAGATTACAACATATTTGTCTTAATTTGAGAGAACATGGTGCTCAAAAAAAATAAAATTTAATCCAGAAAAATAAATTCAAATAAAATAAATTAGTGTCAAGTGCGCTATAATAAATAAATTATATTTGAAAAGAAATCAAATTATTTTAGTGAATCTTTAAATAAGTTTTATATAGATTTTTTATTATCAATATTATAAAATAATTCAGGATATCTTTTTTAGTTTATTGCATATATATTTTTTTCTTGATAATTATAAGCTTATAATCTCTCAAATTTTTGTTTTTCCTATTTTTTTTATACTTAATAAGAGATTATTATACTCTTATCAGGTTATCTTATATTTTTCTTATAATTTACTTAATACTAATAACTTTAAAAAATTATTATTTTTATTCTTATTAAAAATAATTTACTAATATAATAGCCATTATATTTATATTTAAAAATTTTCATTTAATATATATGAATGAATATAAAAGATTTATACCTAAGATAAATATTAATAGATTATTTTTTTAAAATAAAATTTTAATTCTGTCTTATTTAATTAAGCTAATAGGTATTAGATTTATTTAAATGTAAAAATTTTTATTAAATATCTTTTATAAAAAATTTTTACTAATAATAACTTTTTTTAATTATTATTTTTTAAATTTTACTATATAAACTTTGATTAAAATTAATATAAAAATTATATAGTAAATAATTTAATTAATAGATTAATAATATATTTAAATAAAAAAATAAATATATATATAAAATCTAATGCAAAAAGATTGATATATCAATATAAAATTAATAATTACTTCTAATAAAAATTATTTAAATTTTAACTTATTTTTATAATTTTTTTATATTAAATAAAAAAAAATCTAAATTAGCTTTTTATACTATTTTAATTATTCTATTATACTTTAATTTAATAATACATAAAGTATTACTTTATTTATTAACTAAAATAAAACTATTTTTTAAAAAAAATATTTAAATATTATTACTATTAATTTGTAATATTAAAACTTTAAATTATATAAATAGATTGCTTTAAATTTGATAAATATATATTCTAAATTTCATAAAAATTGAATTAATAGTTATGAAAATATTAAGTTTCAAAGTTTAATAATTAAATTATTTACTATTTAATTTTTATATTAATTTTAATCAAGCTTTATATAGTAAAATTTAAGTTTATTATTAGTAAATTTTTTTTATAAAAGATATATAATAAAAATTACTATATTTAAATAAATTTCAATATCTAATAACTTAATTAAATAAAATAGAATTAAAATTTTATTTTGAAAAAATAATCTATTAATATTTATCTTAATCTTTTATACTAGATCATATATATATAATAATTTTTATATTTTAAATAATTAATATAAAAAGTAATAATAGATATATTTTTTACCTATTATTATTATAGTAACATAAATTTCTTTAATTTCATAATTTTTCAAACTTAGAATTTTTGACTAATCAGTTAATCTTTAGAAAACATGTGATTTTGAATAATATAATTAGTACATTAGTTATAGATTCAATCATGATTTAATAATATTCTTATAATATTTCTATAATATTTTTGTAATACTTCAAGATTATGAATGAATAATTAATTCTAAAATTAACAACAGTTTACAAATAGTTTAATAATAATTCAGAAATACTTTAGAAATGATTTAATAACAAGTTTAATTTATTTTTATTATTATCTTTTTCTTTTTAGAATATCTATCTTATCTTTTTATTTTATTTTATCATTTGTAT